TCTGTTTACAATGAACTAATATGGTCGAAAGAGCGCTGTGATTTGCCGAAAATTCGGAATGACTTTCGCGGATAATTAATGTTTGGGGTAACTAAGTAACGTGAGAAACTGCCATTTCATCAGTTGTGATCATTAGGTATTAACATTTACCTGATTACTCCTTGCAGTTCATCTGTAGTTTATCATGCGTTCCTCGTTCGTTTTAGTTTCGTTACATGTGTTCTGCGCCTTGTATTGAAACCCATAATGCTGATGATTGATAGCTGGCTAATTGTCAGTAGGAAAGAAAGTCACGTTTGATATGCATGTGGATGTGTTTTACGCAGTTTTGTTGTTGTAATAAATGGTTGTTTTAAAGTATTGTTGTAGCTTTAAAGTTTTGTAATTTATGAGTTCCGCTAGATCTCAAGTTTGCTGATCAGTGGCTGACGATGAAATTCGTATCGTTTGTCTTAACACTTAAGCGAAATTATAAATATTGCGGTTTTTAATTATGTCAGCTGTATGACTAACGACTGATGTACCTAATTTCACCCCAAGCTGCATCTACACGAAGTCGTTGAATGTCATAATGCCACGTCATTCTGGCTGTTTATATACTGGCTGGTTTATCCGTTGCAGTTCAGTGGCATCCACAGTAAGCAGAACAACGAACTTTATTGTTTCAGAAATGTCAATTCCTGAAAACCGGTTGTTTTCACCTCTATGTCAGTTATTGTTATTTCTGTAAAAGTGAGCGGATGGCTGAAAGTTTATTTTAAAATTTGTTTCTCTGAAAGAGCAGTTGTGTAAACGTCGTTTATCAGTCGCAAGTTAGCATATGAAAGTCTGGCCAGCAGTATTTTCCATATTTCTGTTGTACTGACCACGCCAATAACACGTTGCACGGACTACCGTCTTTTGTTCACGTTGCTTGCACTGATGCAGTGTTGCCGGGTTCGTCCTTCTATTCCACCCATGCGTTATTAATCTTTGGATAAAGCATAGATGATAAGATCATGCACTGCTAAAGGGTTAAAATGAACGCTGGACCTGACAGTTTCTTTCAGTAGCGAATATGCTGTTTTAACTTGTATTAACAGATCTGATGCCAGAGTAGGCACCAAAAAGTTAAAAATATGCTTTCTTTGAGTTGGGCTTCGTTTTGTTCTAGTGTTTGTTTAAGAACAATTCTTCTCGTGTGACTGTACCGTTGAACTTGATTTTCTTGCTAAATGTTCACATTTGTTTCTGTTATGTTCTTTGTTTACAGTTAGACTGAAGCATTGCTAGATCAGTGAAAAAGTCTCTTCGGAGAAAGTGGTCGTCTTTAATTGCAACAGAGGTGCCAGTTAATTGGCTCCACTTTTTATTGCAGAGTTTAATGTTTCTATAATATTCTTTCTTCAGAAAAAGCTTCGCCAGTTTTCCTCTGATTTTGAATTTCCGTTGACTGCTACCATTCGTGCTTTTAATTCTAGTGCATTTTCGAGTCCTTTTACGTAAATCAGTTATTTAAAGAACAAAAATATCTGTATCGCTAGTAATGTTGCTGAGATACGATTTATTAGATGACTTTTCTAATTTTTTTCGCATCATAGCTGACTAGAGATTTTCAGAGTTGCTTAAGTGCACTTATGGAGAAACCAGATCTAGCATTCGTCTTGATTTTTATGCATAAAGATGCGTAATTTTGGATGAGTAATGATATCCAACCAGTTTTCAATAAACCCGAGTACTTTCGCACTGCAAATCTTTGTGCGCTGCTTGTTGTCAGCGGATTCCTGTCATAATCTTGTACTTTTTAGTGTTTATCTTAATGTTTAAATATTGCTACATTGTTGATTTTGGTTTGGTTTGGATTGAAAGTACGTTTTCCGTGCTCTTAATTAAATCTAGTTTAAAAGCGTTTTTCATGAATAGTTATTACATCGGAAAGTGTCAATGTTTGATCACGACAGAACAGTCATGCGTTGCGACAATATCTGGTCAAGCGTTATGGCTTATGTAGGTCTTTTCTGACTATTGTTCGCGCAAACGCTTGCTGTCATTTTTAAAGATTCTGAGAGGTGTTCCGTGATATCAGTAACGGCTCACAGTTGAATTGATATATACCCTTGCAGTTGGCGTTTTGTTGGTATAATAGACAGTGATGGTTGTTGACCTTCACTTCGGCTATGATAGCAGCGACATTGTTAAAATGATAAGTTCTTATAGGTCTGGAAGATGTTAATCATTACCTGTCTCAGTGACAGCTAATGGCCTTCCCTTTTCGATCTGTGAACCAACTCTTTTCGACTCTGTAGAAACGGCTGGATCGGGAAATGAAGCCCATTAAATGATGAGTTCTCGTAACTAGTTGGCCTTAGAATTTTTATCAGCATCTTAGTGAAGACTTTCGCCGTTAAGACATTTTTCCGAGTAGTTTTCCTGTCCACAGCTTACATAAAATACAAAACTATAAGAATGGCAAGGAAGACCATCGTATATGTGATGCAGCCGTATATTTTATGCATTTATCAAGCCTTTTTTTTTGACACACCTGCTCTCCTAAACGTCATGATATTCGTTTCGACACTGTTCGTCAAAGCTGTCTACGACGTATCAAAGTGCTTCTAACAGCCGCATCACATGCAGCAACTGCTGATAGCAAACGGCCTTGAAAAACTGTCAAATAACCTAGAGATTGACGCTCTGCTTGGCTTGATAAAACGGTTCAGAAGTAAATGAAACGTGTTCAAAACTTTCTGTTCGTTTACCCCCTACCTTCCATACATACACTGGAGAGCAGGGCAGACCATAGGAATACATGTTGGAGGTTTGCTGTGAATAATGCAATCTTTGCTACATCGATGGACATTCCCTAATTTTGAGACTACTTCGGAAGGTGGGATGTCTGGATTACTTAATCGTTTAACTTTTTTATCTTTAAATGATGATAATAATAATATCACTAAGCGAGTATGACTTCTTTAGATGTACTTTTACTCTGTTCAGGTATTCCTAAAAAGAAGGTTTTTCCAGCAAAGCAAAGAAAACTGCGTTCATTCAATTGAGTACTTAGGTGCTGAAAATAAATACTCACTGCCACAGAATTGGTTGTTTTCCTCACAGTTTAAAGTATGTTTTGTAAATGTCCCGCGGAGTAGTCATGTATTGAGATAGGAAAAATTTTCGTAACCCCGTAATTCGTAAAACTCATATGGACGTCATAAACACGATCATTCTGTTGCTTTGCTGTTTTGGACATGAATGTTATGGCAAATTGGACGTCTTGTCATCGAGCGTCCTGTAACGGCGCGCCAAAATATTGTTTTGTGTGACATGTTCTGCTGTATGGAATTTGGATCGAAGAGTTGTACGTCGTGGATCCACTCACTTCATGAACGGGAGGAATGGGGCGCCCAACTTCACGTGGAATGGTTTCGCCCTAAACGCAAGCATCGCATGATTTACTGATGTGTGGAACCGTTCATTTACTCCATTGTCTGTTGTCACATATTTTTGGTCTGTCCTAATGCTAACCACACAGGACCGTTTTTGTTTTGATCATTACGTTGATGCATTTGCATTAGCAGAACGCCTTTGTCTGTGATGCTCGCTGTAGTCACCGTTTCTCTGCGCTTGCTATAAATTACCACTTACCGTGTCGTAGGACGAGTAATTCTTACCTTATTGAGTCTTCCATATTGCATTTTGACTTCTTGGTCAATACGTGCCATGTTTCGGCTCCAGCGGCTGAAGCTTATGGGTTGGAGTAAATGGTTTATGCTCCACCAGTTTGTCTATCATGACCAAGCTGTTGAGGATGTATATGCCCGAAGTCTTTACATATTCCCGTCGTTTATCTGCATGCGTCGAAGCGCACATTATTGTATTATGGTCAGCCGTCAGTTTTGCTCCTTGTCGAAAGCTTCTATTCAGTATGACAGCACTGACCTTACTGACGCAAAGTACAGATGGTCCTTATCTGTTAAGATTTGAATAAGCATCGTAGAGCAGTAGAAGCAAGTGCGTTTTGGTGATTAACTCGCCGAGAGGATGAAAACGAGGAATTTTAATGGGCCTCATCTCCATGTAGCTCTTGCGAATCTGTTGTGCGCAGTAGGTTCTTCATCACCACTGACCTCTGATCATTAAGTAGGAATCGACTTTTTCCTCTGTGCTGCGTATGAAAACAGATGACTATGCCCCCTTTCCGTACTGTTCCTCGGGACAGCATCTTTAGTGTTTTTCAGTATGTAACGTATATGACCAAAGGTCTGAAACTACTCTTTCTAGAATGAGACCTTCAACTTTGTTAATCAGCGTTGCTTCGCAGGAGAAAATCGAGAACAACATTCGATAAGCCATCGCCTTGGGGAACCCCAAATGGAACCACTAGACTAAAAATGTCTAATTCTCGAAACGCGTTTATTATTCCAATCGAAATTTATAACAGACCAATCGGTGTTACTGCTTGTGTTATTAAATTGAGGCAAAATGAAACAAGATATAATTCCGATGTTTTGGGCTTGTTTACACGAGTAGAAACTTTCGATACCGCCGATAAATGACGCATTTCAAATGCAAATACCGCATATGCCGCTAAAACGTGTCATGTGAAGAAACGGTTTTCCTTTACTTTGCAGTGTAAAACTTTTACTGCCGCAGTATTGGTGTAAAGTAAAAGAAATTTCTTTTCTTTACACCGAGTTTTTGCTGTGTAAATTCTGTATCAGTATTTGAAATGTATCTTAAACTTAGTTTTTGAATTTTTTTAAAATTTAGCTTCGCGTATGACGATGCCAGTGGAGCGCTTTCTTTTGCGTCATGGCGTTTATTTGTAACGGATACATTTCTTTGATCTCCTTCTCAATGTTCTGACTCAGCATCGCCGAAGTCTGAAATAAAAGTTACACAAACGAAAGTTAGTCTCGTGACCGGGTGTGCACTGCTATTAAGGAATTAGTATTTTAGTGTGCAGATGAAAATTTTGCTTTAGAATCCCTTTGGACCTTCTGGCGGTTTTCTTTATGGCAATGAATACGGATGTTGGAATGATTTGCAGTCCGCCGGGTTTGTCTTCTTTGGTTCCAAACGTATCTTCGTCACTAAACAGCAGCTCGATGATCGGAAATGTGATTGACCCATTTGTAAACGCCCAACTGCCTACCAGTTCGGCACCTGTCGCTGGTTTTTCGGCTGCCCCAGGTGCAGAACATTCTGCTCAGAAACATCAGCAGCAGCTTCAACAACAACAGCAACAACAACATTTGACCAACGGCGTCGATGGACAGAAGAAAATTGTTATGGATTACGAAGCGGATTTTCCAACCCTACCAGCTGCATCTCCTCAGTATGCTATTCCCACTGCGGTGACACAGTCTGCACTCACCCAGGTGAAATACATAATCTTTTCGTTTTAGGCTATCTACATGTTACCTTTAAATTCCTGAATAATTTGAATAATTTTCCAGTGCCTGCTCGCCCAAAACTTCACTCAGTGTGTAAAGGAGAAAGCGCAGTGAACGTCCGCAGTCTAACGGCGGTTGAAAGCGATTCTCATAATATGCAAGCAAACTCACTATTTTGTTTTCTGCTTCAGGACAAGGAACGCTCTTTTCCCATTTACGACTTATCCTTATTTACAGAGAGGCAGCAAAAATTTGTTCG